TCCAAAGGATGGTTGCACTACAAGGAAAAAGATTTTAGAGAAAGAAGTTTTAGAAAAGGATTTGAAAGTGTATCTAAAGGTGTTGTTTAGGGAAAGAAGTACATGACGGAAGTGAAAAATGTACCCGCAGATAAGATGACTACGAGAGAAAGATTTCAGACCTAATAATATACTATGGATATCGTTCCTAAAGCTTTTAATTTAGAGACGCTTCATAAGTAAAACATCTGTAAAAATCAACTAAGAAGCTTTAGAAACACTTTCTACATTGTCTCTAAAGAATATTTTTATTTTTATTTTTAAATTAAATAAAAGGTTTTAGTTATTTTTTATAATTCTCAAAAGTATATCTAAAGCTTTTCTATTTTTAATAAATCAAATTTATATAATAGAAATATTATTGAAAATCAAACAGAGAGTCCTATACGGAGAGGAGATACAAGAGTCCTATATGGTCGATTTTCCAACAATCAGACTGATGTCTTTGTGCTTTCTCTTTGATTTCAATCTTCGATTTCGTTTTTTCGATCGACTTTGAGTTCAACTTGTCTCATCTGTTCGATTTAGGGCTTGAAGATTCATCGAGTTATGGTAAGCGACTTCGGTTTRGGGCTTGTGGATTCRTCGAGTTACGGTAGGTGATTTCGGTTTAGGACTTGAGGATTCATCGTAGCCGACTTTGRGTTTGTCTTCGTATCTTCATTTTCATTTCTATTACTTGGTTTGCCTTTTTATGTTTATCAGGTATTCCAAGAGAATATAATGTCCATGGTAGTTTTTGAGAATTGAGATTGGAGGTGAGGAAGTCGTTGTCACATTTGAGACGGTCACAATTCTAATGTGTTCATATTGGTTGAACTTGGAATGAACTTGGCTTGACAATTTCTAATTTCAACTCCAACAGAAGTTGACAAACAGACAGGGGAGTGTTAACAGGGCAAGATTTCAGATCTTGATTCTTTTTTTCAGAAAGAACTCAAAATTGTTCTTCCATTTTTCCACGGTCATATATATGCCCATCAGATAACCATGAACTACTCCCCCAAAAATATAAGTTCTCTTGGTTCAGAGTCATTGCACATATTTATTTTACTAGCATAGTCTTTAAACATATATTCGCTTTGTATCTCATATACTAAAATTTGTACATTGCTTCAAAAAGTTGAACTCAAAATTATGGAAAAGAAGCTTTTGAGATATATATATATATATATATATATAT